ATACTCCTTTGCAGCATCAGCCAAGAATCAGAAATATTTGTTTCACTTCTTATCATAATTCCCCGCTCCAAGACATTCATCATCTTGGTAAACAAAGGCTGTTTAAATTATACTTATGACTTCCCTGCTACGAAGTCCAAACAAAAGAAATGAGACCAGAAAATCCTCAACTTCCTTTTATAAGGCTTGTCTAGACTAACAGAAATAAATTAATAAATAAATAAATAAAAAGGATTTCTTCCTTGGTCTGATTTAATGCAATTTGTTCTACAAGTGAGAACCTGGTAAGCAGTGGAATCAAACGCAACATAGCTGAGTCTCGAAGGACCCTGTTTCACACTGCCCTGCCACTACTTACGAGTCCTGGCAGGAGAGACCCTTTACTGCGATGGCATGCTGAGCTTCTCCAAGAAGAGCAGTCACCAGCCGAGAGCACGTGAAAGAAAACTGGCATCAGTATTTACAGCAAGACCCTAAAACTCTACAGGGGGTATAAAACTCAGCACCTCCTGGGAGTTGAGGCTCCTTGAAGGCTTCCAAGCTTGGCTAATGGGAGGGTTTGAGGAAGAGCTCCATGAAATCTGCCCAACAAGGTGACTAGGTCCCACTCTGCCTCCCCCAACATCCTACCTAAGCGCTGTCAGAGAGCAAAACAGAGACCCCATAAGACCCCTATCTCATCCAGAAGGTAAATCTGGATTTACACCAGAATTCATTTATGAATTTTACCCCATAATCTTTTTGCCACAGTTTGCTTTCTAGTTTGGTTAGACCACCTTGCCTTCCCCGGCAATAGCCAATAACGTGTTATTAGATGAAGTGTAATGATTTCCTAGTGAGTACTGCGCAGAGCAGCAATTTTGCTCTACAGCATGAACTACAGCCCCGTAACATAAACAAACATGTTTCTCAGCAACCTTTTGTCTCCTCTTCTTTGATAGTGCCTGTTCCTCACTGTATTCCTGCATATTAATACAAAATACCAACCTAATAAGGAAAACTGCTACCAGCCAACCCTCCAGGCAAGGCCAACCAAATGCGAAGTGCTACACAGGGGCACAGGACCTCAGAGGCCATGGAAAGGATGCGAGAGCTTCAGCTGGTACGAGCTTTGCTCCAGGGCTTTCCCAGCTCAGTTTTGCTCTATTTTCTCTAGTGTGGAGAGTTACCTTTTTGGAAATAAGAAAAGTCAAACGCTTGGCCCTGTTCCCAAATTAAGAAGTTAATCAACGCAGCAGCTATCCAAACGCCTTCATGCCAGCCATTCAGCCTGTCGCTCTCCAAGGAGATAAGTTTATTATTTTCTGCAGGTCAGCAAAACTTCACCTTAGTTTCCCAAAAAGCTCACGTAGCCAGAGCTGCCCTGGGCGAGCACGCTGCCCCGCTGACCTGCGGCTCCGACAGCTCCGGTGTCTGAGAGGAGGTTGGATAGTCACGAGGCGGTCCAGGAAAGCAGCAGGCTTAAGGGTACCCCAAAGGTGAGGCAGCACAACTCAGTGCAGGCAAATGGAGCACCGTGGAGGTCTCCAGAGACTGGACTTCTGTTGCCAAGTTTCTGGCATGTCCTTGGGCAAGTTAGCAGACCGACTTGTGCCTTTTTTCTTTGCTTTCTTACTTCGTAGCAGCCCTGTGAAGTAAACGCGGATGTACTCCAGCAGCATGGTAATGAATGGTACAAGGGAGTCAAGTGACCTTTCCTACCCCACCTGGCAGTTCAGGAATTATTAGCAACACAAGCACCATCTGCCCTGCCAAAACGGTCCCCCGAAACCAAAGCTCAGGAATCACTCAATACCTGAAACAGTCTTCAAGCACCAGATGAGCCCTCCTCACGTTCCCCTCGAATCTGAGATTGATGTTACTACACGTAATGCTGACCAGCACCTTGAGATGGGTATTAGTACTAAGAGTTGGCTAATTCAACGTGCAAATTACCCCAACGTACCTCAAGCCAATCCACTGACTCAAAAGGACAGAAATCTCAAGGAGGCAAACGAGTTCTTATCTCTGTCTACATAGAGACTAATCACTAAAAAGGAACACAAGGACTAATCACTAAAAACAAAAAGAAATATCTCCAAAGCATCAGCTTCATCCATGTTTCCTACAAACCCTCCATGACATGCGGATAGAGGGAAAAAATGCAGCTATGATGGCATAACAGCGCTTTAAGCTCTTCTGAAGTGTATCCTAGAAAATGTCGAGGAAATAGGCTTCCAGGCTTTCAAATCTGTGCAGCCTAAACCTGCATATTGGTGACCTAGAGGCAGGGAGCATCAGCGCTGTCACCAGAGAGATCGGGACGCTGCTGAGCACTTGGGTGCCAGCCCCCTGGAGCAGCCGCCAGCCCCGCAGGCGCTGCTCCCCTCAGGACCTTCCTTCCGAACCCTTGCAGCAGTTGCTGCGTGCAGCTCTGCGCCGCTTCGGACCCGTGTGCCGCAGGATTAAGCTGCCTCTAGCATTCTCCTCAACTGTCTTTGGGTCCTCCATGCCAGACATCCCCTGACAATGCAGCTTCACGCAGGAGCACCTCTCGCAAATCCCCCCACGGGGCATTCTGTCATACCAAAATCCGAAATTGTCGCCCTCGCTTTCAGTATTCCGCGTCTCGGTATTGTCCCCAAGTCTCCAACACCTGCACGCCCCACCGCCCTGCCCACTCTCTTTCTGCAGAGCTGTCCATGCCTCCTGCCGAGCCCTCCTGGCCCTGCCACCAAGGGGGGTTTAGCCCAGACACAGCAGCGGCTCACACATTTCTACAGCTCCTTCCCTCTCCTTAAAGCTCTGGTTTCCATTCCCACACTGCCATGAAAGCAGGAATATTGAAGGGCTTACGGCTGCACTCATGAGCTTGAAGGTCTTTTCCAGCCATAATGATTCTCATGCTAATGGGCATGGGCGCCTTGCATAGCCACACAACGGGTGTCGCTTTCCCACACTTTGCAGAATTAATGTATTTAACCAAGTGCCTGCCAGGGTTCGCAGCGTAGGAGTCCATTTCTAATGGGGCATTCCCAGATTTGGAGGGGGGGAAAATAAATATTCGATAACAAGGCATCTAAATCCAGTGTTTTGTTTTAAATTTACTTAAGCGCAAAGACCTCCCTTCGCCTCCAGGAGCTCACAGCTCTAGTTCATCTTGCTTCGTAATTAGAAGTATTCCAGATTCTGGAACAAGAGTCCATCTACAGTTTTGGGATCTTTTGCAAACCCTTTAAACCCCATAAAGAGAATTAGCAAACATTATTCCTTACTCATCATTTCTGAAAGGGCTTTCTGGGAAGGGGGAGGGAACCAAATCACACAAAGGACCATTAAAAGTTTGCACACCAAAAATCGAGCATTTCTTTTCTCTTCCCTTGGTGATTTTACTTGCAGACAAAAACTGTATTTCCATGATTACTCCATGCTTTTACAGAGGATTTTGAAAGAATTCAGTTTGAGGTGTTGACTGGGTGACCTTGTGGCTAAAAGAACATACACGCCAGAAAATGCTGAAATCTCAGGTTTTTTTTTTTAATAATAAAAATCTATAAATATCAGCTGGAAGGAACCCATGATCTCATAATAAGTCAACGGGTCACAGCTACACTCCTCTTATCTTCCTTTTTTTTTCCTATTGTCTAAAAATAGGAAACAGCACCACATGAAAACGTTCCGACAGGGATAAATAACGTGCCCGAAAAGCAGGAGTCAGGAAACTGACAGTTTAGAATAATGTCATCCTCGCATTCCCCAATGGGCTCTGGGGTTGTTGATATCTCCAAATATTTCAGGGACTTCTTAACAAGTTAGTAACCCAGGCAACGTTTGGCACAATGCAGCCAGCTAAAAGACAAGCTAAAAATCCTAAAGAAAGGCAAAAAAAAAAGAAAAAACATTTCTGTGCAACTTCATGTCAGTGTTCCTTTAAAAGGAGGAGGGGAAACTCTATTTAAGGACAAAGGGCTTAACCTGCAATAAAGTTTGCGGGTAAAGCAAGAGAAAGCAGCTAGCTCTTTAGCTGCACTAACCCACATTGCCATAGCAAATACAAGGTGAGCAGAGCTCCTCTAGGTGCAGCAGCCGAGAGGAGCCGTGGTTCAGCTCCCGGTGCTTGCAGCCATTCCCCGCAGCCGGAAAGAGTCTTCGGAGGAGCTGTCATGGAGCAGGGATGAGCACATCACCCCCAAGACTTATTTGGTCCTAGTATTTCCTGGCATTGCCTGGCGACAGCAAGTGGCACCTCTGCCCAAGCGCACACGGGTACGGACTTAAGCCAGAGCTAATGCTGTTAGGTAAAACCCTGCCTTGGATTAAGTCCTCTCTTCTACCAAGGACTCTCAGCTAGAAACGGTTGTCACCAAAAAAATAAGAAGATGCCTCCGTCATCCTCCTCACGGCTGTAATGAAAATGCTGCCACCTGGTGGGATGTCCGCGGCTTGGGGACGGTCACCTCGCCAGGCTACCCAAAGGAGGCCCAGCCTGGGAAGACACCAGTGACAGGGAGCCATTTGTGCAGCAAGGTGCCAGATCACTGGAACGGGCAATCTGCAAAAAGTCCCGGGCTCTTGGGCGGCATTTCGCACCATTAGGAGCTGCTGCTGCTCAGGGCTCGAGGCACAGCTACTTCTTAACCTCCACGCGACGCTACGGGGATGCCAGGGCTCCCGCCTCGAGCGCGGGCCCAGCGCTTGCGGGGGGCCGATACGTGCAGCCCAAAGCTTGCGTCTTAGTGGTCTGGAGACACCTCTGCCTGGCTCCGAGCCTTTGCTTGGAGCCCGAGGCAGCAAGGCTCCGTGCAGAGGCACCACTGAAGCATGGAGCCTGGCGAGCCCCCAAAGCGGGCCGAGGGGCGCAGAGGAACTGCCCACAGCACACGAGGACAAAGCCATGGGGACGTCCACCTCTACGCCAGTCCGCACGCCTACCAGCATCTTTCAGCACTGCTGCTGAAGAGGAAAAGACACCTCTTGGCCCGGGAAAGGCCCCAAAGCAGCGGCGCCGGCTCGCACTTAGCATGGAGCCTGGCGAGCCCCCAAAGCGGGCCGAGGGGCGCAGAGGAACTGCCCACAGCACACGAGGACAAAGCCATGGGGACGTCCACCTCTACGCCAGTCCGCACGCCTACCAGCATCTTTCAGCACTGCTGCTGAAGAGGAAAAGACACCTCTTGGCCCGGGAAAGGCCCCAAAGCAGCGGCGCCGGCTCGCACTTCGCCAAGGACGGGTTCTCCTTGCCTTTCACCGGCTGCCACGTGGGAATTAACCATTCGAGGGCACGAGGGTTTGCAGCGAGCTTAGTGCAGCCACGCTAGAGGCAAATCTGACCACCACTGCTATAAAAGCCCACAACCCCTTTCCCCAGGTCTGCTTCCAAGAGCAAAGGACTTTGACTCAAGACACCAATGGATGCTGTTGAAAAGCGGTGATTTCTTTTACAGAAAAAACATCACAGCACCAATGCAGCCAAGAAAATCTCTTCTTCCTTACCCACATGACACACGCTGGGAGGAACCAATCATCCAGAACACATGTTGATACACATTTTACAGAAATATTAGCTGTGTGTCAAAGGCAGTTCTTGGAAACATCATCTACCAACGTTCACGTGATGTGCATTTCACGAGCAATTAAACCTTCCGTTCTGACAAGCAGATCTGCTGTTCCTGCTCACCAGCCAAACACCAGGAGAGAGGAAACCAATAATGTTACAAGCTCTGCCCTTTGGTAAGGAAATGGTGTTTTCAGGGCTTGATAACATCGTTATTTATCCGTTTAAATAAGAAACTGTCAAACCTCCAGAAAACAGAATGAAAAAGCCAACCCTGTAGTTCACTCAGGAAATGCAAAAATAGCTAGACTGTGATTTAGATCTCACAGCAAGTCAGACAAGACCTCAGTGTCAGCCTGGAATCACATCCCAGACACTGCACAGTCCCAGTGCATTCCCATCACTGTCATTCTGCTGGCAAGCCGCAGGGAACGGCAGTGACGCTGCTTCGCTACCCAATTCCTTTCTCTGCGCTTGCAGACCACGTTTCGTGAGCCCTGCCTCCACGAAATTCGCTCCTCGGACAAGCTGGATGGGACACTGCAAATAAATGGTCTGTAAGCAGGTGCTGAACTCCCTTCCGTAAAAACTCACACTTCCACCCCGAGAAATCGCCTTTCCAGACAACCACCTTTCACCAAGAACAACTCCCCGACGCAGCCGGTGTCATTTGTAAAGCCGGTGGAAAAGAGCTGCGGTTACATCCAGCGCTGTGATTTTCACCCTGCTAGAAAGTGGTTCTTAACATTTCATATGTGGGATATTCCTTCCCTCCCCCAGCCATTCATGGTGAAATAATTAGTGTTAGTGCTCTCATTGTTTCCAGACAATGCAGACAACAAGGCTCAGCTCCTGTTCTCTTTCC